ACGCACTTTTCTTCGTTTCTGTTATAAAATTTTGCAAATAAATAACATTTCTTCATAAATGTAGGTAAAATGTATTCTGCTACATTTCTTTGGTAAAAATAATAATAATAATTGAATTTGTATTTTTTTTTCCAAATGTTTCTATTATTTCTTTTATTATTTTTTTTTTTTACTATTTTATTTTTCAGCACACTGTGACCAAAGCAATATAATGTTACCATAGTAACATTGAACTACTCTGGGCAAGTGATCAGGATTTTTTTTTTAAACACATTGTGATTGCTAATACCAATGTATTCCATTGATATTTGAAATCATTGTAAATGAATGAAACTGATTCATTCAGTCAGTCTTTTGTTGTGATTAGCTGTAATGGGGAAAGCTGAACAAATGATACAGATGGGCTGCGATTGGCCCTGTCTGTATCATGTGACTGCCTTGACCAGTCACAGCTAACAACATAGTTGTATACAATGGATGGCATGACAGGAAGCCATCCATTGTATACAATTGACATGTGATCTGCTGTGATTGGTCACAGCGGTCACATGACACTGGAAACGGACCAGTGTATTGATATGTCATTGGCTGTGTCCCGTGGAAACAGCTGGTGATAGATTGCGCCACTGCACAGCCCTGTGGCTACTTAAGCGGCTCGTTTTGACAAGATTTCATATGACACCCAGTCAGAACGGCGAGTGTCCTGCCCGGCCATCAATCTTCTATAGGTTGGGTGGGAAAGTGTTAACCACTTGCCCTCCAGAGAATTTACCCCCTTCCTGACCAGGCCATTTTTTGCGTTACGGTGCTGCGTTTCTTTAACTGACTATTGCGCGGTTATGCAAAGCTGCACCGAAATTAAACTTACATCCTTTTTTTCCCACAAATAGAGCTTTCTTTTGGTTGTATTTGATTGCCTGTGCAGTTTTAATTTTTTGCGCTATAAAAAAAAGCCCTGTAAATTTGAGAAAAAAATATTTTTGACTTTTTGCTATTAAACATATCCAGTAAAAACATATTAAAAATCTAATTTCGTCATAAATTTTGCCCACAATGTATTCTGCTACATGTCTATTTTAAAAAAAAAAATCCCAATATGTGTAAATGAATTGGTTTACGTGAAAGCTGAGCCTGGAAATTTAAAGCTGTTACTCCCTACAGAGCCGGAAATATAGCATCAGGAAGAGGACAGGACAAGTGAAGATTCTACAGAATCTGACAACCTACACATCAGGGGACACAATTCATTACACATTTCAATAAAGGAAAGTAATGTAATTAAATCTGTAGAGAAAACATTTTTTTAAATTAAACTTCAGCTTTAGGTGACTAAACATATGATTGATACGATACTCACAATTAACAAAAATCAAAAGCAGAAATGCTCAAAACAAATTTTCATGACAACAAAAGAAGAGAGTGCAGTAGTTTGTATTCTGGTCTGCTCCAATGACATAGAGCATCTTGACTGTGTCACTTTCAGTGAAGTAGTAATATTAGAGTATGATAAGTTTACTAAGTAGCTTTTTTCTCTATCAGTGTGTTACCTTACTTTGCTTTCTGATTGGGTCACATTTTATCTAGAATAATGTGGTTGAATAAGCCTAGGGATGGAGCTGCTATATAAAGAGATAAAATATCAGTTTAAGCTGGGTTTATTTTAACATACTGTGAAGAATTTTAATGGAGCTAAAATAATATATTCTACATATTTTAATGGAACTGTGCTAGTCTAATTGTTTGATGTGATTTGATTAGTTCCCAGGTGTCGAAGGAATAAGACCATTGCATATTCATCTAACACAGAGGGGTTGATTTACTAAGGGGAATAGGATTTTCATTTTGCAAGTAAAACTTCCTTTAGGTTAGTAAATGTGGTGAACACTTACTTTGCAAGGAATACCCAATCATGTGCAAGGAAAAATAATAACATAAAAAAAACTGTATTGCTTACACATAATTTAATAATTAACGTCAGCAGAGCTTCATTTCATTCACTAAGCTACAGGAAAATTTCCTTGCAAAGTGAACAACAGCCCCACCAGAGACTTTAGAAAATAATGGGGCCTTTTATTTATTTATTAATTTGGGAACACAAAGGAATGGTTTGCTAAGGGTTTCCTTTTTAGTGTGGCCCTTTTAATGGAAGATATCAATACTGTGTATAGAGCAGTCAATTAAATCAAAGGAGTCTTTTTTTCAGGAAGGGGAAAATTTTTATTCAAGGTAATGGAAAAGGAGACATTTTATCCAACAATAGAGATGAGCTCCTGGGTTAGGGAGAATGCGGAACTTTATGTTTATTTCATAGGAGCAAAATATCAGAAGTAGTAACAGGTTTTTCTCCTACCGCTTTTATATAACAGCTTCCTTCTTCCTCTATCAAATGCTGTTAAGGACACAACCAATGACTACATCCAGCCCCATTCATTTGCAAGCTGGAAATCCAAGACACTTAAAAAAAAAAGGATATGGGGGCTCTCTCCATCATTCCTACAAGTAGGTATGGTATGAATTTTAAGGGGAACCTCATGCAAAATAAAACAACAACAAAAAAAGGTCCCCTCAAATTGTACACCAGACCGTTTGGCTCTAGTATGGGTTTTAAAGAGGGACCCATGAAAAAAAAAAAAAAAGAAAAAAAGCATACGGTCCCCCCCAAAAAATCCATACCAGACCCTTATCTGAACATGCAGCCAGACAGACAAGAAACGGCGGTGGATTAGCATGGTATGGTAGTAATAGTAATTATATGAGCCTAGAACTATCCAAATTACTGCCCTACAAACTACTGAACCTTGTCTACTGCCTTATTACTACTGACCTCTGTATACTCCCCCACATACAATATATTGCCAAAAGTATTGTGACACCTGCCTGTACACGCACATGAACGTTAATAGCATCCCAGTCTTAGTCCATAGGGTTCAATATTGAGTTGGCTCACCCTTTGCCTTAACAGCTTCAACTCCTCTGGGAAGGCTGATCACAAGGTTTAGGAGTGTGCCTATGGGAATGTTTGGCCATTCTTCCAGAAGCACATTTGTGAGGTCAGGCACTGATGTTGGATGAGAAGGCCTGGCTCGCAGTCTCTGCTATAATTCATCCTTAAGTGTTGTATCGGGTTGAGGCCAGTTCCTCCAACCCAATCTCGCTCATCCATGTCTTTATGGACCTTGCTTTGTGCACTGGTGAGCAGTCATGTTGGAACAGGAAGGGGCCATCCCCAAACTGTTCCCACAAAGTTGGGAGCATGAAATTGTCCAAAATGCCTTGGTATGCTGTTACCTTAAGAGTTCCCATAACTGGAACTAAGGGGCCAAGCCCAACCCCTGAAAAGAAAACCCACACCATAATCCCCTCTCCACCAAACTTTACACTTGGCACAATGCAGTCAGGCAAGTATCGTTCTCCTGGCAACCACCAAACCTAGACATGCCCATCGGATTGCCAGATAGAGAAGTGTGATTTGTCACTCCAGAGAACACATCTCCACTGCTCTAGAGTCCAGTGGCGGCATGCTTTACACCACTACATCCGACGCTTTGCATTGCACTTGGTGATGTAAGGCTTGGATGCAGCTGCTCGGCCATGGAAACCCATTCCATGAAGCTCTGTTGTCTGAAGGCCACATGAAGTTTAGAGGTCTCTAGCTGTTGACTCTGCAGACAGTTGGCGACTTCTGTACACTGTGTGCTTCAGCATGCGCTGACCCAGCTCTGTCATTTTATGTGGCCTACCACTTCATGGCTGATTTGATGTTATTCCCAGTTGCTTCCACTTTGTTATAATACTAATAACAGTTGACTCTGGAATATTTAGTAGCAAGGAAATTTCATGGATGGACTTATTGCACAGGTGGCAACCTATCACGGTATCACGTTTGAATTTATTGAGCTCCTGAGAGCGACCTATTCTTTCACAAATGTTTATAGAAGCAGTCTGCATGCCTAGGTGCTTGATTTTATACACCTGTGGCCATGGAGGTGATTGGAACATCTGAATCCAATGATTTGGAGGGGTGGCCCAATACGTTTGGCAATATAGTGTATTACTGATCCCTGTGCAGTACGCTACATACTACAAACCTCTAAATAATTGAATACCATGTAGTTATTATCAGTTTAAGTTGTGCTTGATAAGGGATCAGCGTGCTCTGAAATATCACATACAGGGTTATTTTAACATACTGTAAAATATTTGAATGCAGTTAAAATAATATCTTATACATATTTTAATGGAGTTGATTAGTTCCCAGTTGTCAAAGGAATAAGACCATTTAATATCCAGCTGACACAGAGGGGTTGGTTTGCTAAGGACAAATAGGTTGTTCACTTTGCAAGCAGATTTCCTTTAGTTTAATAAATGTGGTGATCATTTACTTTGCAAAGAATATCCAGTCATGTTCAAGGAAAAGAGGAAAAAGTGAAAATTCCCATGCAAAGAGAAAAACAGCCTGTCCAGGAACTTTAGAAATTAATGTGACTATTTATTAATGTATTGAACTGGCAGCTAAAAGAAAAGGGAACACCATAAGTAATGATTTGCTAAAGGATTCCTTTTAATGCTAGCTTTGTCATTCTTAAGCAAGATAGCAAAGTTTTGTATTGCATAAAGCAGCCAATGAAGATGAAGGATTTTTTTTTTTTAAGGGAGAGGAAAAAATATTTACTCAAGCTGATGTGCTTGACACACTTTTTTTAAATTGATACAGTTGTAATAATAACATGAGGCTAGAACTTCCCCTCTTATTTTATTGGCTATCAAATTTATTTAGGTTTCAGAGAATATGAATATCCTAAGTTCCCAAGAAGTAAATGTAAAAAATTATAATAATATAATTTTTCCTTTTAAGCAATCTATAATCTCCAATAAACACACAAGTAGATACATGCAGTTCAAAAATGCATTAGCTGATCATGGCATTCACAAGATTATAGCTATCGAAAATATCAGCCTGGTGGTTGACAACCTGTTGATTGCCTTCTACCTTTTGATTGTCAGCAGGTGGTAGATTGTGTCCACGCTTTGCAGACCCTGTGTCTGAAGTGTTACTCCCCATATGCAGACCATTGAAAGAAAGTGACATACCTACATGTTCAGAAATGATCCTACCAGCCCTCCTCTCCCATTCATTCCAGGCACTTTTATCCAGGGGTGGACTGACAACTTATGGGGCCCCCGGGCAATAGGGGATCTTGGGGCCCCTATGTCCTTGCCCACACTCAAACTACATCCAAAAAAGCCTATGAAAAGGTACCAGGGGCATCTCATGGGGCCCCCTACTGACCCTGGGCCCTCGGGCAGTGCTCGAGTACCTGAATGGTCAGTCCGCCCCTGCTTGTATCTGACATCAAATGGGATGGAAAAGAGAGGAGGGCTAGCGGGGCTCAGTGCACCATATCAAACAGCGATGTGCCACTGCCAATTCTCTGTGCCACTCTGCACACCTCCATACTACTGCACACTGACTGATAAGCTGCTGACCCCTATACACTGCCCTACAAACTACTGACCCCTGTACTCTGTCTAAACAAATATGGTACCTGTAAGTCTTTCACTTAGAAGTTTCTAAGTGTGCATGCACATAATATGAAAAAATATCTCTACATTAAACAGCACTAAGATTGTGTTTGTACATGTTGATGCTCTAGGCATACCTGAATAGTGATACCTATTTGTACATCCTTTGTATTGTGTAATTATTTTAGTAAAAACAAAGCCTAGCACGTGCTATCAGCAGACCAACAAACAAGAGAAAGTAGAGGTGGTTTTATTTATGTTTTATAATGAGCCCCCTGACTTTTCTCAGTCTCCCCTGCACCCACTTACCTCTACAGGCTTCCTGATGAATTTATCCAAACATTTCTAGAGGTGGCCAAAAGAGGGCAACAAAATAAGAAAAAGGTTTTGCAAATTGTAATTTTTGAGACTTGCTGCTATTCTTCTCCCCTTGTCTTGCTACCCTAAGCACAAATGCCATTATGGTAAACCCATCCTTGAATGGTGCTTGTCACTTATTTGCTTTTCCCATTACATTGGAGCCATGAACAATGGGTTGGAAGCAGGGGCGGACTGACAACTCATGGGGCCCTCAGGCAATAGGAGATCATGGGGCCCTGTGTCCTTGCCCAAACTCAAAAAAGCCTATAAAAAAGGTACCAGGGGCATCTCATGGGGCCCCCTACTGACCTCGGGCCCTTGGGCAGTGCCCGAGTTTCCAAATGGTCAGTCCGCCCCTGGTTGGAAGATATCTGCCCATCCTTGATCAAAAATGTGCTTATGTTTTAAGGCAGGCCATAGATAGGCCAAAATATTTTTAAAACCACTAATTGTGGTAGACATTATATTATTTTTTAAATGCCAAGAGTAGACTCTCCCTCAACAAGAAAAAAAAAAATCATAGTGGTTGTTTGGTCGTCCAAATAATTGGTATGATCTTAAGTAAATTTAGATTTCTGTACCACACCCTTGCTGAAGTGCCTTATAACTTTATTTCTTAAGGAGGTTCTACTGTTATCCTGGTATGTAGGAAAGACTCAAAGTTCCAATGGTGTGTTCCCATATTTACTATGAGATTGAAGCTTGAATCATAAATTAATACCTGTTCTGCTTAACTACTTCCAGCCTGGCCACTATATGTAAATGGCTGGCTGGGAGCTTCCTTGTTCTGGGTGTGATCCTGTTTTGTAAATGTAGAAAACATTTAAACAATAATTTATATAAATAATGAAGGGCTCCTTCACACTTGTGGTACTTTCTGAAGAGCAATCCACATGCAGATCACTCTTCAGAGAGCATTAAAGTGGAGTTCCAGTCATTTTTGTGTTTATTAAAAGTCAGCAGCTACAAAAACTTTAGCTGCTGACTTTTAATAAACAAAAAATGACTGGAACTCCACATTAATGCTCTCTGCATTGCATACTAGCACATTATGTGAAACTTACCTTCAAACGATGCTCTCTAGCAGCGCGCTGTCACCGCTGATAGGGCTTCCATCTTCACCCAGTCTTTTTCCAGGTTTGAGGGCTCCAGCGGCTTGAATGGTCAAGCCATGATGACGTCACTCCTGCGCATGCGTGCATGAGTCACTTTTTATGGCACACAGCTCTGAAGGAACAGCATGGGTATGCCGTTCCTGCAGAACGCATGCTCTGGTGCTCCTTTACTTAAGTAAATATATCCTAAACCACGCACGCTTAGCAGATATTTACAGTACCTATAGGTAAGCCTTATTATAGACTTACCTGTAGGTACAAGTGAACAAAACAACTTTACTACCACTTCAACCACTTTCCCTCCAGAGGATTTACCCCCCTTCCTGAGCAGGCCATTTTTTGCATTACGGCGCTGCGTTACTTTAGCTGACAATTGCGCGGTCATGCACTGCTGCACCCAAATGAAATTTACATCTTTTTTTCTCCACGAATAGAGCTTTCTTTCAGTGGTATTTGATTGCCTATGCATTTTTTGTTTTTTGCGCCATAAAAAAAAATACCGACAATTTTGAGAAAAAAAACAATATTTTTGACTTTTTGCTATTAAACATGTTCAGTAAAAAAAAATTAAAAAATCTAATTTTGTTATAAATTTAGGCCAAAATGTATTCTGCTACATGTCTGTGCTAAAATAAAATCACAATACATGTAAATTAATTGGTTTGCGTGAAAGTTATAGTGTTTGCAAATGGAAATTTTGGGATTTTTTAAAAAATTTTTATTTTTAATTGAAATGGCGGTGATCAGCGGCTTATAGTGGGACTGCAGTGCTCATTGTGACACTGGGGGGAACTGACTTGGTGTCACCGACATCCCCAGTGACACTAATACAGTGATCAGTGCTAATAAAAAGCACTGACACTGTACTAATGGCACTGGGCAGGAAGGGGTTAAAATGTGGGGCGACCAAAGGGTTAACTGTGTGCCATTTTACATCATGTTCAGTGTTTATGCTTCACTGTAAGCACACTGCTTTGCATGGCTGTGCTATGCGAACCTATGCATAGCAGTGTGCAGGAGCTGACAGTGGAGAGAACTGTTTTGTTTACTTATAGTTCTCTCCCTCTGTCGGTAATGCTCCTCGATCCCTGGGTGCCGGCGAGTAATCACCTGCCAGGATCCGGTGAATGACAGCCGAGGCCATGAATAGTGGCGCGGGTACAGCGCGTGTGGCTTGAGCGCCCCCTACCCAGAAATGCAAAACCACATATATGTGATGTGATTTTGTGCACCCCTGCTGTCCTTTAGCAGTATATCTGCTATAATGCAGCAGGAAATTGGTTAATTGACAACTTCATTTTCTTTCTGCATTTTCCAAAAACTTGTGGAAAAAAAATTACACTTTCAAGAGGCTCGTTATGCTTCCTATAAAATACCTTTTGTTTGCTTTCCAAAATGTGGTAATTTTGTGAGTGTTTCCATTCTCATGGTGCGTCAGAAACTCTAAAAATATGATAGGCGGTCAGGAAATTAGATGCACAGTTTATTCCTCTAGAAGGCCTGAAAATACCCCTTGGATTTTGAGCCTCTCTGTGTGGCTAAGCTGTGAAGACTCACATATGTTGTACCGCATATTTGGGAGGAGTAGTTGAATGTTCTTAGGGTGTAATTGTAAGTATGCCTATGTTGTATGTAAAAAATAACCTTGTGAAAAAAAATTATTTAATTTCCTCATTTTACAAAAAAATTATGGCAAAAAATTACAACATCAAAAAATTCACCATGCCTCTTACTAAATACCATGGATTGTCTGTTTAACAAAAAAGGGGTCATTTCAAGTATATTTATACTGTGGTGGCATTTTAGGGCCTCAATATATGAGGAAGGCAGTCAGATCATCGGGGGGTGAAACTGCCCAGTCTTGAGGTAGTAAAGCAATGTTTTAAAGTGGTGAATACATTGTTCTGCCTATACTTTTAATAATAATAATTAAAGAAATAATATTAAATATTAGCTAAGTTTATATAGTCAAGTAAACGGTGCACATTAATACAGTTGTGACCAAAATTATTCAACCCCCAATGCTGTAAAGGGGTTTTTAGGGACTATAGTGTACATTTGGAATTGTATTCAGAATCAAATCCTACAAGGACGTTGTAACTACCCAAATGCAACTAAAATGACATCAATTGTTTATGTAATACAGTAGTAAATGGTTCTTATGTGGTTTCTTCATTGCCACAATTATTCAACCCCTTAAAGACTACCACTCTGAAGAACAGAGGTTCATACAGGTGCTTTCCATCAGGTATTGAAAACACCTGTGGATGTCACCGAGCAGCAATCAAGCATAATAAGCACCAATTAGGCAGCTTTAAAATGACTGTGATACTCAGCTCCTTCTAGACATTTACTGGTGTGGTTACAAACATGGTGAAGGCAAGAGAATGGTCCAGGAAGACAAGAGAAGAGGTGATTTCTCTTCACAGGAAGGGCAATGGCTATAAGAAGATTGCAAAGATGTTAAACATACCAAGAGACACCTTAGGAAGCATCATTCGCAAATTCAAGGCAAAGGGCACTGTTGAAACGCTACCTGGTCGTGGCAGAAAGAAGAAGTGCTGACTTCGACTGCTGTGCGCTACCTGAAGCGTAGAGTGGAGAGAAGTCCCCGTGTGACTGCTGAGGAACTGAGAAAAGATTTGTCAGATGTGGGTACAGAAGTTTCAGCCCAGACAATAAGACGCACACTGCGTAATGAAGGCCTCCGTGCCAGAACTCCCAGGCGTACCCCCTTGCTGTCTCCAAAGAATAAGAAGAGTCGACTGCAGTATGCCAAAAGCCATGTGGACAAACCACAAAAGTTGTGGGATAGTGTTCTGTGGACTGATGAAACAAAATTAGAACTGTTTGGGCCCATGGATCAACGCTATGTTTGGAGGAGGAAGAACAAGGCCTATGATGAAAAGAACACCTTGCCTACTGTGAAGCATGGTGGAGGGTCAATCATGCTTTGGGGCTGTTTTGCTTCTGCAGGTACAGGGAAGCTTCAGCGTGTGCAAGGTACCATGAATTCTCTTCAGTACCAGGAGATATTGGATGGAAACGTGAT